GGTCTGAGTCAATCAGAACAATGGTGCCAAAAATGTGTGTGTTGTAACCTCTGGCAAGGCTCTGACTGTGTCTGTGTGTGGTGCAATTTCAGGGTTCAAAGCTCAGTGGGCCAATCACATCTGTTTACCATGCTTTGGGGTCATCTGCATTTCCCGAGGTGGCCGGGGCTGTTTGCTTTGTGTTGGTCAAAGTACTAGCAGATGGTGAAACTGGGTGAGGAAATAATGCCCACTGCGGGTCTGTAAGTATTTGATAGAGTGGGGGTTGTCTGTTGACTGGGGCTTCGTACATTCTGGAATCTTAGCATCAAATGGTCATTCCCACACAACATTCTCAGGCAGGATTTTAAAACCAAGAGACTCTCAATTGAAGACAACGACTTTTTTAAATAAAGAGTATGTGAAGTGTTCCTTAATTGTATGGTTGTACCTACTAGAATAAAGGAAAACCTTTATTGGGAAAGTCATGTCTAATTTAAATCTCCTAGGCTACAGTGGCCTTACTTTGAGAGGCCATGTCTGAGTGTAGTTGGAGAGAATAGCACACGTGATGAGTGATGTCTCCCTTGGACACAGGCAGGAATGATGGGGTAGGCACCACATATTTGCCACCCTGACTTAGATATACTTCCTCAAGGACCTCTAGCCAGAAACCCCCTGGCCACATCCCTCTACCCTTTAAGTGCTGCATTAGACACAAAACAGAGTTGTTTTATGTGCTTCATTTCGTAAAGAGAGCTTTTCGCCTTCAGTAGTTTACAACTTAATTTAAAACAAATCAAACTTAATGCTCCATTGTAAGGACCGCCATCTGCCCCCTTCATGATCCCATTAATGAAAAAGGAAGTGGCTTATTAGAAAACGCTTCTTTAGGCTCCTGGGGTATGTCAGGGGAGGTAGGATGCATGACTTGAATGTTTGCTTAGCATTTTCAAGTCATGTAAGACACCTAGTGGAGACTCCTCCCTCTCCGCATGAGGAGGCAGACTTTCACTGAGCGTTTCTGGGGGTTGTTGTGGTTTCTGCATGCATGTGGTTCCTAAAGCAGCAGTTTAACGTAGCCTGGTGTTTCTAGGTAGGTTCCGTCCAGCGAAACCCTGAGGAAGAGAGAGGGAGGGAGCCCGGAGTGTTCAGTCAGGTCACCCAGGCCAACAACCCTCGGCAAAGCACATTGGCCTCATCCCTTTCACAAAGGCGTCCGCACAGCCAATCCAAACAAAGATCAAAGAGACTAAAGAAATGATTTCCATGCCCTCTCACAGCAAAGGAAATCCAACAAGGTTTCACTTAAATTTTACCCAAATGGAAGCAGTTGGACATACTCAACACTTTAACTCTTCTGTTATTTAGTGTCCTGGTAAAATGCTTGGTCTTGTTCTGGTGGGCAGCTGAGTTGGTTAGAGTGTCATCTTTATATGCCAAAGCTGCAGGTTTGATCTGTGGTCAGGGCGCATACAAGAAGCAGCCAATGAATACATACAAAAGTGGAACAATATATTTCTCTCTCTCTCTCTCTCTCTCTCTCTCTCTCTCTCTCTCTCTCTCTCTACCTCTCTCTTTCTCTCTCTCTCATCAATAAATAAAATTTAAAAAACCATCCTTGGTCTTTCATGTAACTTTTAGTGCTATGCTCAGTTTAAGATAGTGCCTATTTAATAAAACACTGATGTTTTCCTGACAAGAGACACTAGATAAAAATAAAAACACATACACCCCAAATGTTTGTGGAAAATTTGTTTTATACTTTTTTGAAACTTTGGGGTAATTTTTGCAATAAGATAGTATTACTTATATAATCAGAACAAGGATATAACTACTTAAAAAACAAATAAGGAAATTATCAACAAAAGTACACCATAGCCTTAAGAGAAGAAAATCAAGTGTTTTATTTGGCGTATGGCTTATCAGAGAGAAATAAGAGAATAGGAGAGAAATTTGGCAAGGAAAGATGTCTGCCTACCCATACCAGGGGTGTAAACATCTTTAACATTTATCTCCAACAAAGTAAGGGACTCAGAATCAGAACATAAACTCAGAATCCCTTTGCAATACACATCCCACATATAAGCATGATACATGGGCTGCCAGAATTTTCCCACAAACAAGGCCATCTCTAATGAGATCCTCTCGGGGCTTCAGCTGCCTATTCCAGGCACAGGACATTGGAAACAGACTCAGGTTTACATCCAATTCCACTTTCTAATAGACAACAAGGAGGAAGATGTCAGTCCGTGAGCAGGAATAAACTTGCTCTGATTCCCTTATGTGCTCTAGTTCAGCCCCCCAGGGGACAAGGCTCCATCCTGAGATGCTAGGCTGGGGTCAAGGCTCTGCCTGGGGTCCTAGGGCAGGAAGAGGTAAGTGACCACAGAGAGGTCACCGTATGACACCAGTCTCATGAGTTCGCTGCCCTCACCAAATGAAAGGTCAGACAAAACCAACATTAGCTCTGCTTTTACCTGGAAAACACTACCAATGACTGAATTTCAGGAAGGGCTGTCCATGTTGTGCTTATGGGTTGGAGCAACTAACATGACCAAAAGCCTACGGGCATTTGCTAGTCCTCGTTCTAATCTAATACATGCTCAATTATTGGCGCTTGTCAATCTCTATTAAAGCAGAAAGCAAGGAGGCTACTTCCTCATTGATGAGGATGTAGTTTGGTTCAAATCAGTTCTGTGAACGCTTATCGAGGCTTTGTGTTGGGGTTTGGCAGCAGAAGCATTCTCCTCATCCCAGTATTGAGACTAATTTTTCTTCGTCTTATATTCCTCACACTGAGGACATGCACTTAAACTTGTAGCATAGTTTAGCTAATTTTGAACCTGTTTCTAGACGTGGTAAAAGTTAAGCCTGGTTAGCTACACAAATTCAATGACCCCAAACAATATACTGTATTCCATATAGCCGTGTACGTTGGCAGGGTTCCCCCAACCTTTTCTTCTTCTAGCTCATTCATTCAAATTTCATTACATCTCTGATAAATATTGCATTTTTAATCGGGGGGGAGGGGTGGAGAATAAGACTCTATGCTGGGAGGTCACCTTCAAATCTATAACTTTGCCCCCTCTATCAAATAGTTTCTCTCCACTGTTTTCTATTTATGATTTAATATAAATCAATAATGCTATGGTCTGAATGTTTGTGTCCCCCCCAAAAAATCCCATGTTGAAATCCCAGTGCCTGTGTGATGGTAGTAGGAGGTGGGGCCTTTGGGTAATGAGGGAGGAGACCCCGTGAATAGGATCAGTGCCCGTAGAGAAGAGACTCACGGAGCTCCATTGCCCGCGTTCTCCAGGCGTGGACATAAGGAGGAGCTGGCAGTCTGCAATCCGCAGAGGGCCCTGCCCAGAACCTGACCATGCTGATACCCTGATCTTAGACTTCCAGCCTCCAGAACCATAAGAAATAATTTCTTTGGTTTATAAACCAGCCAATGGTATTTTGTTACAGCACCCTGAATGAACTAAGACAAACACAAAATATTAACATATAAAATCAATGTGTTCATAAGCTCCTGGAATATGACCAGCCTTCTCACTTCGATATTTCAGTATGAACTCTACCTTATGGGGAGCAGAAGACAGTTACAGAGAACCAGAGATAAGGCAGGAGGGAACAGCTGAACCTACTGGATGAACTCTATTACAATAATTTAACTCAAGCCTTTCTAAAGAGATGAGAATGTTGAGCCGAAAGAGGCAAGTAAAGGTTAGGTGGTCGCTACATAGGAAAAATCGTTTCTTATCACCACAGCCATCCAACTTGAATTATAGCCAATTTGATTTTCTCTGCCTCCTCCTGGTCCTCTCTATCTTTGGTGAAAGTGCTAAGAAAAATAAAATGGTCAAGGCACAAGGCATGGGGGACAAATGAGGTCAATTTATAATGCTGATAGTTGAGTATATCTTGCAAAGGTTAAATGCCCTTCAGTAATCATAGCCCAACAAGTCATTGTACTTCCACATATATTTATTTATGAGGAAATATAGCTCAGAGAGGATAAAGGTCTTATCCAAATATGTCTATTAACAGATCAGTGTTTCTAATCAAAAGATCTCTAACAGGTAGCAATCATCTGGACATTCCTTATACTCACTGGTTATACACAAAGAACAAGGACAGTGCCTTCTGGCCCTGAAATACCACTCCAAAATGGACATAGGCCAGCCTCGTTCAGGACAAATGTCCAGTTAGTTAGCTTAGATTTGCTTTAATTCCCTTACTATTTCCTTAAACACAATGGAGTTAATTTGTATTCAATAATCCTGAGAGCTGGGAATTTTCTAATGTAAATTAAGGGGTGTGCTAGTCTGGCTTTAGCTGGGAGGCTTGGCTAGGATGAGCCTGCTCCACATGACTGTCACTCTCTCCCTGTAGGTTAGTATGGGAATGTCCTCCTCATGAAGACAACAGGACACAAGAAGGGAAATGGAACGACATAAGGTTGGTCAGAGGTCAGGCTCTACAGATACAGTCATGTCTGCCTCGCTCTGTTGGTCAAAGTGCATCATAGAATCGAACCACAAATCAGAGGTTGAGAAAACCCCCTCTGCTGCTAAGAGTCATGGCAAGGGTGTGGATGCAGGGAGAGGTGGAGATTTGGGGCCCCAATCTCAGTCTCCCACAAAAGGAAGGAAATGCGAATTCATATTTGAAATATATAGAAAAGTACAGAGAGCATTACAACAGGTATCCACCTCCAATGATTAACAAATTAATATTTTTTTATATTTGCTTTTGATCTTCTGTTTTCTATTGATTATTTTAGAGTTTAAGCACTGTGTACCCCTGCACAACTCTGCTTCCCTCTCTGCTCTGAGGTAACTATAATCCTAAATTTAGGGTATTTTTGTATTTTTACTGTATCTGCAGTTATTCACGAAGCCACAGCCCTGAGGACAGTCACTCTTCACCTGATTTGATCACTTTCAGTTAATATTTAGTCAGCATTTCCAATAAAATTAGCTGCTTCTTCAGCTCAGAAGCTTTTATGTAGGTCCTACATCTGAACCAAATAGCTAGCCATGGGATATTAGAATTTGACTTGTTCCATTGTCTCCTGTTTAAGAAATGAAAAATGCAGAATTCTAAGGCTAAATAGCTAGAAAATATTTACTCAGACTTGAATATTCTTCAAAGAGAGTGTGTAGCCATTATAATTATTGGAGGAAGAAGCATCACAGGAAAATAAAAGCCAAATGTTTTCTTCAGGAGTCCTCCTTTTGGCTGCTTTGATTTCAACTGGTAAGTCAGACACAATTTTAGAATCTCAGCTAATTTGTAAAAACTTATTTCAAGGATAGATTTAAAAGTCAATAATAGCACAGTCACAACAGAAACTTGTGTATCTGGATATTAAAAATGCAATAGGAAGAACAGGGGGTTCTCAATGATGTCCACCGAATGCTCTGGTTCTTTCATGAGGGAAACAAAAGTGGAATGGGGGGACGTTAAGAAACGTCTTTCATTTGTGGTCTAGAACTTAACTGGAATGTAATTAGAAGATGAAGAGTTTGTGTAAGAATATGACTTAGAAAATTCCTGATGCAGAGATTAGTGGGATTAGGATTTGATTATTGGGACTAGCAATAAGGAAACATTTCAAAGTTACTTAAGAATTTCTGGGGTTATTTCTTTAAATAAATCAACCTGTTTGATTATTTTCTTTAAACCCATGCCAGCCAAAACCGGTTTGGCTCAGTGGATAGAGCATCGGCCTGCGGACTGAAAGGTCCCAGGTTCGATTCCGGTCAAGGGCATGTACCTGGGTTGCGGGCACATCCCCAGTGGGAGATGTGCAGGAGGCAGCTGATCGATGTTTCTCTCTCATCGATGTTTCTGGCTCTCTATCTCTCTCCTTTCCTCTCTGTAAAAAATCAATAAAATATATTTAAAAAAAAATAAAATAAAATAAACCCATGCCAAACAATGAACAAAGAAAATTTGAAAAGCACACTTTATGCCATTTATTAGTGGATAATCTGAAACTATAATGATGGAGGTTAATGCCTATCAACAGACACACTTACAAATAACTCGACATGTCATAAAATAGACTTTTTGTGGCCAGAGAAAAAGCCAATTTTGCATCTGAACCAGGAATTAAAGGAAGAGCTTACCATAAACTATAGAATGTTAGGGACAAATTATAGCAAAAACAGTATTTTCAGAATCCACTGGAGACTTACAAGGCAAATGGAGGTTGGAAATATGTGAGAAAGGAAATCCGCCTCTCATGTTTCTCCTTTTCAGTGCTGGCCGGGCCGTGGGCTAATCTATGTGCTGGCAAGTCTTCCAATGAGATCAGGACGTGTGACAGCCATGGCTGTGGCCAGTACAGTGCCCAGAGGTATGTTTACCATATGCTTTCTGGGCTCTCGACCTCTTGACCTCTTTGCTTAGTGTGCTTGCCTTATGTTTCCTCAAGTGCTCATGATCATTTCCTCTGACAACAGGAAAACTCGGAGATGAAACCAGTTACATTACTGTCTTTGGAGCAACTTCCAAGAACTCTGCTTCAAGTATGGGCTCTGAATTGGGAACAGAGCGTGGAATAAGGAAAAGAGGAAGGGGGGCAAACAGTGTTTTCCCACGTTGACTTAGTTCACCTGGTTTTTCCAAGGTGAAAATCAAGCATTACTATCCCATTTTATAGATGAGGAACTTGAACAGAGGCACCAAAGGGCTAAGGGACCTGCCAAACACAGCTGGAGGTGGTGAAATCTGAACTAGGATTCAGGCCTTAGGATCCTCTTTCCATCAAACCACAGTGTACTAACCCAGCCTCTGGGAGCTGAACACCGGAGGTGGCCCTAAGCAGGCAATTTATTTCAGACAATGAGGAACAGACTTGTGAATTTCCAGTAACGTACAGTATCACCTTGGGAGTACCACTCTCTGATGAAATAGCTGCGTGTCCAATTGCATTATTAACCTCCACCCCCATTACTAGTACAGTGGAACTCTCACTTATACAGATAACTAGAGGCCCAGTACACGACATTCATGCACTTGGGGGGCTGTCCCTCAGCCTGGCCTGCGTCCTCTCGCAGTCCAGGACCCCTTGGGGGATGTCCACCTGCTGGCTTAGGCCCGCTCCCCAAAGAGCGGGCCTAAGTCGACAGTCAGACATTCCTCTTGCAGTCTGGGGCTCTTGCATTCCATGACCCCTCACTCCTTACCACCTGCAGCCTTGAGCCCGGCTTCTAGCTGAGCGGCATTCCCCCTGTGGAAGCACACTGACCACCAGAGGGCAGCTCCTGTGTTGAGTGTCTGCCCCCTGGTGGTCAGTGCTCATCATAGTGACTGGTCCTTCCGCCATTTGGTCGATTTGCATATAGGATACTTACAAAGTAACCTCAAGTACCTGGAGATATACCTAAGAGATGGGAAATATGGAAAAATGGCCTCTTAATTGCCAAAATTAAGACTCAATTAGTTCCTACCCTAAAGTTTTGCACTTGACTTATATAACTTAATGGCTCTTCACTTGGAACCTGCTCAATGTTGCTTTACATCATCTAACAATCCTGGTGAGTCTGAGTTTTCAGGCAGGAGCCTATTAGAAAGGAGAAGAGGCCGGCAAGAGCGGGCATGCTGACAACAGTGAGGACTGTTAGCAACAACCTCAAGAAACCTCACAATCTGGAAACATTCTGTGTTTGTGCTACATGTACTTTAATAAACACAGGCAGCATCACTCACTATATTGAAATAGCACGTACAGTAAATGATGTTTGTAATAACTTCTGGGTTGCTGAGGGAAAAGCACGACTAGGGTAACATAAGATTCTTTTATGACAGGTTCCCATAAAAAGACAACTCTTTCCTAAGTGGTCTATATTAAAATGTACTCATATAGATGGCTTCATTTCCCCAAAATGCCATATAATAAGAATAGCTAATATTTTTAAAGGCTTCCCAAGTGCCAAATACTATCTTAAGTGCTTTAATCTTTACAACATGGTTATTACTACCTTCAGGGAAGGAGGTTAAAATTGGGCAAAACAGAGTGAGGAAACCTGGGACATCCTAATATGCTCTAGCAGCTTCAGTTGTTGATACCCTGGTCTGGGGACAGAAGGCCAGCACCACACTCCTGGGCAATAAAGCTCCCAGGGCAGTTCCTAAATCTCTTCATTCTTATCTGCATCCTAGAAATCATAGGCCTCACCAGGGTGTGGACATCTTGTGCTCTGATGGATCTACTGTGTATGCACCTTTCAGTGGAATGATTGTGGGCCAGGAGAAACCTTATAAAAACAAAAATGCCATCAATAATGGTGTCCGGATATCTGGAAGAGGTAAGAGGTGGTGTATATGTCTGGGACACATACGAAGATGTTGGATATTTATTTATTGAATGCATATCCCATAATTGAAATTTCATACTTCCTTCAAGATGATAAAACCTACAACATAAAGGACTTGGTTTAGCAAACTAAAACAGCTTAATGCATTTCCAAAGATGTTACACTGGTTTCCTGGAGTCATCTGCTTTTATGCACACACTCCATCTACTTCTCTAGCTGACTGAGGGCTTTCTTCCTGTGGCCCATGTGGTTTTGCTTAACAATCTATAAACAAAACCACTTTCAGCAATACTAACTATCATGAATACATACTTTCATTTACCCAAATTCCACAATTGGAAAATGTTGGCCTTTTTCCAAGAGTTGACTGGGAAATATTTACAAAGCCCTCTATATTCTGGGTAAAGCTGTCATCATTGGATTTAGCATTATAAATTGTCCTCCTTTGTCTTGTTTCAATGCTTTTGGCCTGAATTCCACTCTCATAACATGAACATAACCCTTGCTTTTCTTTTTGCTTCCATTTTCTTGACAAATATCTGTCCATTTCTTAACTTTTAACCTTTTACAATTATTGTTTTTCTATACAGCATAGAGTAGGGTTTTCCTTTCCAAGTCAATAGAAAATTCTGTTTAATAGATGAGTTAACATTTATAGATAAAACATTGTCATACTACATTATAATTATGGTATTATATTAACTCAATTTCTCTATATGGTGGGTATTTAAAATTTTTTTCTTTTGGTATTTAGAAAGATTTGTATTCTTGTGCCAGTTCTTTCCATTTTTCCTTGTCTTTAAAGTCTAACAGTTTAACTAGAATATGCCTTAGAGTTAACATTATTCCAGGTCAATATTCTCAGTTATCTAGTGTTTTTCTGCTATTGTTTAATGCTTTTATTACATTGTCATTTAAATTTATTCTTCCTAGGGCATCTTGCAATTTTTGTCTTTATTTCTGATATGATTTTGTCATTTCCTTCTACTCCCCCATTGAGTTCAATCAACTCTCTTTTCTTTTTATGTTTTTTTGTGAGTGTTATTTCTGTAATTTTTTAAAATTTCTGATTCTAGGCTATTAAAACCCAGATAATGAATAATTTTACTTCTTCTTTTCTTTTAGGTTTCTGTATTAAAATGTTCTACATCAAGCCAATTAAATATAAAGGTTCTATCAAGAAAGGAGAAAAACTGGGAATTCTGTTGCCCTTGCAGAAAGTTTATCCTGGCATACAATCCCACATACACATTGAAAACTGTGACCTGAGTGATCCCACCGTGTACCTATAAACGGAAGACAGGTGACCAGATCATCAAGATAGAGAGCCATCTTCCTAGAACCTGAACGCATATCCTGCTTTCCAAGAAAACTTATGTTCAAATAGAAACATGATAAGTGCAAGGAAGAACACAGTATTTTGATTTCAACTCACTGCCACTTTCATGTTTTTTTTATGTCAACTAATTTCTCATGGCTCTCTGAACTTTTGGTAACCTATATCTGGGGTGGTGGCTTTTCCTTAATATTTCTTAGTCCTAAATACGTAGAGTAAATAAACATGTAAATTCAAGTTAGTCCAGACTGCATTTTTAATGATTCTAAAACTAGACTTTTGCTTAGGGGAAAAAAAAAGCCTTAATCTGTATTTATGGTAAAAGAATAGAGGTTTGTACAATGCTGGACACTCATACATACTGAATAGGTATTAACTGAATAAATTGGAGGCTTCTTTTGAGTTAAGGTTGAGGAGAATTTCAGCAATATCCTTAGGTTTGTCAATTTGGTTGGAGCGTGAGCTGCTTGCATGAATAGAACAGAATTCACTGGTCTTTATATTCCCACATTCCCACATTCTATATAAGTGGTAGATTTTCTAAGTTAATGAATAATGGCAGCCTAAGAAAATATGTAATATTCTAGATTTCAGTATGATTGCATAACAAGGCATACTAGAAAGAGAAAGAGTTCTATCCTAACATGAAGTATCTCAGGGAACCAAGACAGTCAGCCTCATCTAGCCATATGCATCTGATAGCTACTTATTTCTACACATCATTGTATACTAAATTATTACTTCTTGGTTATATTGGCAACAGGTGCCAACGTGAAATAACCATGCAAATGTTCAAAGGACCAGAAATAATTATGGCTCCCTAGAGTTTAGTCTGTCAGTAAGAAGTGAATAAATTGAATTCATCATTCTGAAAATATCCTTCATGAATTTTTGCTCAAATCCTTTTGGAGTGTAGAAAACTCCAGTAGAATGACTCCATTCTTAGTGTAGATATGGTAGAGGAAAATGAAATTAATTGAACTTACTTTACTACTGGTGAGAAGTGGCTGCAGTTGTATACTAGGACATAGGTATAAGAATGTTCATGATATCACTATTTATCAGAGCAAAACCTGGAACAACTCAACTGCCCATCAACAGTGAGATGGACAAATAAATTGTGGTTATAGAATGGAATATTACATAGCACTCAAAATAAATAATCCTCAGCTAACGACAAAATGGATGAATCATAGCAATATTCAGTAAAATCTCGATATAACGGGCCATTTCAGGCGAGGGGGTGTCCGTTATATAATAAAGTAGGTTTGCTGAATGCATATGTCAAAAAGTTGACAAATTAGTTAGTTTACTTGTCTTTCTTCTTCTTTTAAAAAAATATATTTTACTGATTTTCCACAGAGAGGAAAGGAGAAGGATAGTGAGAAACATCGATGAGAGAGAAACATCAATCAGCTGCCTCCTGCACACTCCCTGCTGGGTATGTGCCCGCAACCAAGGTACATGCCCTTGACTGGAATCGAACCCGGGACCCTTGAGTCCGCAGGCCGACACTCTATCCACTGAGACAAACTGGTCAGGGCTACCTGTCTTTCTTATGTAGACAAATTTGTGTAATTAAAATTAACTATGCATTTAAAGTTTAATTTCACAGAAAAGTTTTCTGTATGTAGTATAGTAATTTTAAATTTATGCTGAGTAGGTCTAGTAAATGCATGCATTCACCAGTCAGCACTAGTAAACAAATGCACACAGCTGGGCATGGCTTAGCACGTCGGAACATCAGCTGGCACACGTTAAAACTGCTGTATAAAGTTACGCCATGCTACAACAGAACTAATTACCACCCATGATGATTACGTGCTAATCGTTCACTGAACATTGTTTTTGAGCGGTGACTGTTGGATTTAAATATACAGACTATCGTTGTAGATATGCAATATTTATTTATGTTGGCAAAATTTCTAGTGTTTTTTTCCAAGATATGGCCTATTTGTTAAAATTTGTTAAAGATAACAGTGAATTAATAACAAAAACCAACCTGTTAATTTAATTGTAAGCAAATCTTAAAAGCATTTTAAAATTAACAGGGTGTTAACTTTCACATATGACATATGAGCCAGGAATTTTGTTCATTAAATCTGAAGTTTGTTAAACGGAGGTCCACAAAATCGAGGGTTTACTGTAATACCAAGGTTAAAAAAAAAGTCCAAAAGATCAAATATAGCATGAACACTCTTTTTATAAAGTCACAACAGTTAAAGCTACAACATAATTGTTAGGAGCACATAATTATGTGATAAATATATTTAAAAAAGAAATCAAACAAATAATGAACACTAGTTACCTAAGGACTTGATAGGACAGAAAAACTCTGGCAAATTTAAGTTACTATCAATGCTGTAGTTTTATAGCTGGGAGGTGATTTCATGAGTGTTTATTATTATGAATTATATGTTATAGATATACTAGGACTTGCAGAGGGGTGGCCAGGAAGAAGTGTTAATGATGGTTCTCAGATAGTTTAGAGTCTACACAAGACATACCCAATTAGATACTATTCTCTACTGTGTTATACAAGGCTAGCAAATTAAGAATTTAATTTAAAAAATGAAAACTATAACCAGCACTGCTTGGTTTGATAACCTACCTTATTTATCTCCATAGTGCCAAATAACTTTAGATTGTCTCTAAAAATTACATTTGTTTTCAAAGGACAAAAGCTATGTTTCCATTGAGAACATAAAACAAGAACATAGCACAGGCTTTAAAGGCAATTTTTAAAGAGCTCTAAAATGTTTAAATAATGAAATATATAGCCTTCTAAATACTTAACCTTCTGAAATGGTTTTTTTAAAAACCAGACTCATTACCTGAATGGAGAGCTTCCGCAAAATAGAGCAAGAACTGTGCCTTCTGCCTAGCATTCCACAAGCATGCTCACATCTGTGAACGGAAATGCAGACTTTAGACTAAGAACTAGAATACAGCGCCCTCTGGTGTATTATATCAGAGTTTTGTTTTCTTTTTTAATTTTTGTTTCAGGTTGGAGTGTCAAAATGTTCAGTATAAAGTATTATAAAGGTTCAAATGACAGAGAAGAGTACTGAGTAACTTATTTTTCTTTAGTGAAAGAGATAATACTTAAAAATTGTAGTGTCAGGTATTAAGTTCATTGACTATAAATAATGTGAACAAAATCAATTTTTATTTTGAAAATGTTTTTAAGTTTTTTTGCAGACAGGTAATTTAATGGAAATATAAGATAAGTGGTCAATTTAAAGGGACAGGCCTACAGAGGGAAAAATTCTTATATCCTGCCTGTGACACTTGTCACATTTAGTAGCATATCAAGAGCAATACATATAATTTTAAAATCTGCCCAAATTTCTAGTATTTAGCATAATACAAATGAGCCCATGAAGGTTTTTAAGGAAGGAAAAACAAAAATTTGAGAATCTTATTTTTATGTCTTTTCAGTGCAACCTACATTTACATTTCGCTACAAAATTATTCTAACTTTTCCAGAACCCTTTAGCAAACTCAAAAACACCAGCTTAACATGAAAAAGTTGCTTACACAACTAAGATACTTTTAAAAGCCTAAAGCCCAAAATCCATCTAATATCAAACTCTTTCATTTATCTAGAATCCTCTAATCTTAGGCAAACAGTACTTTTCATGGACTTCCACAGTAAATGGAGACATTTTCATTACATGAAGCATCAAGAATACTCCATATTTCCTTGTCTTGTTTTTGGTTGTCCTAAAAATGTTTGCTCTTCAATTTGCCAACCCAATAAGACCAACCAGGGTCATTTAATTGAGCTGATGAGTTTTACTCTGAGTTTTGCTCTAAGAGTCTCAGTTCTCTAGATTCAACTACTGGGCCACTGAAGATCATATTTACTGCAGCAACTTTTCACTCAAAGTAAAAAAGGGCACTTGTATTCATTATCTCTCTATGATGGTGAACTATGGGGCGAACTATCATCAGGGGTGATCTAAACTCTCCCTCGACCTCCCTTTTCCTCTAGTCCTTCTCTGTTTGCTTCATTATCCTCTAGTGCAAACACCACTGGCACTCTATTACCTTACCATTCAGGCATATATATATATATTTTATATATTCTTTTATTGATTACCAGAGAGAGAAGAAGGGAGGGAGAGAAGAGAGAGAGAGAGAGAGAGAGAGAGAGAGAGAGAGAGAGAGAGAGAGAGAGAGAAGAGAGGAACATCATCAATTGGCTGCTTTCTGAATTTCTGCGTGCCCTCTACTGGAGATCGAGTCCACAACCTGAGATTGTGCCCTGACCAGGAATCAAAACAGCAGTCTCTTGATTCCTGGGTCGACACTCAACTGCTGAGCCCCACCAGCCAGGCCAGGGATATATATTTTTTAATACCAGATTTATGTCTTCAGTATGTCCACCATTACAATGATCTCCAACCAGTTTGACCCCTCCCTCTCAGGCCATTTCCTTTATGTTTGTTTGTCCTGCTATTCTAATCAGACTTAAATTTCCCTATTATTTGCTGTTTCTGCACTCTAAGAGAGTGCAGAAATCTTAAGCTATGGCTAATATAATTCTGCAATAATAACTATCTTTAGGAAACTGGTTTTATTTTTCAATCAGTAATATCAGCTCTAATAGCATTTATTTAGTGTGCACTAATATACAATACACTGTTTTGAGAAATTTGAACTCAAAAGTAAATGAAATGAGATGACTGTTCTTACAGAACTCAGTGACAATGAATGTGGTACAGTGGTTAGAATGTATGCATAAGCAGTCTCTAAATAAAGGAATATAAAATGTGCTATTTATCACATTGTATTCTGATCTCCTAATAGGTGAGAACATTTTTAGATGTTTTCCTGACAACAAAAGATTGTTGCAGAGTAGCTGGAAGCTCCATCCACTTGCTCCCAACCCCAGAGCAGATTGCAGCTGAACTGCAGAGAAATCAGTTCAAAAATCAGTTAAAGAGTCGCTGATCTAAAATATTGAGAGCAGAGAACACAGAGGAAAGACAGGAGGAGCCCCTTGTGCAAGTCCTTGATATTCCCACAGAGTACAGTTCCATTGGGGGAAGGGAGAGCAGCTCAGGGCAGGGACATTCAAGATGCAAGACCCAAGGAAGACCCAGTCTCTGGAGGCCCCGCCCACTGGACTACTTGGGGCTCTGCCCTGCAGAGCTTCAGACAAATTGCTGAGAGCCAGGCAGGGACAGTGACTTGCCTTGCACCAGAGAAACTCCCAGGAGGTCTGGGGC